TGCTGTGTGATCACACTCAGGGTGATCTGCTCCATAGCAGGCTGCAGTTCCCTGCACCCTCCTCACTCTGTGACTTGCTAATGGAAAAGTATCATCAGCAGCTCTAAGAGAGAAGAGGCACATGCCACACGATGCAGCCCCGATTATCTCTCTGTGGCCAGTCTGAAAAGCCTTATTATTAGCAGTCAAGCTAGTCATTGGCTTCCCAGAGCATCCAGCTTAGAGAGACAAGAGACAGGGAACTAGAGAAAAAATAAATTACAGTGGCTGGATGGGAAAATCTTGTCTCTTCCTCACAGCCAACCTATAAAATGTGTATCCTCCATAAGTTAAACTTGGACGGTGTACATTTGGGACCACTGCTGTTTTGTGGCAGAGTCAAAAGTTACACTTTGGATCACATGGGCCTCATCACCGTCCATGCACGGTCTCCTGTGCCCAGGTGCTGGAAGGTGAGGCACCAGTCTGTGTCTGCATCTGTGATGAGCTCCAAGCAGTGGTGCTGTTTTGAAGGGAATCCCCAGGCAGGCCCTGTGTACTCCAGGCTGATCCAGTTCACAGAGAAGTTTTGATTCATCCACATTAGATCCTTTCTGGAGGAAAGCTGCCTTCCATGTGTGCTACTGATGTGCTCCATAATGGGGACATCTTTGCTTCCACCAGCACCAAGTCCTTGGGAATCCCAAGTCTGCTGAGCACATTGAGACACTGGAAATCAGACAAAATCTAGTACAAAATAAACCCCTGGAACAAATACAGCAAAATTACAGGGGCCTCAGCACAAGCTGCCTTGATCTGCTCCTCTTCTGATATCAAATGAGCCAAATCAGACAGCCAAATTAGCCTATTTTTTCCTTATTTTTTTTTTTTTTATAATTATAGATCCAAGTGCTAGTTATTTAACAAGTTCTCTAGTAGTAGTAACTCTATTTCATGAGGTAGCCTTAATATCTCTCTGGGATATATTCAGATGGATAACTGGAACGTTTAAGTTCAAGAAAATGAAGAGTCAGGTGTGACACCAGTCAGCCCTTGCAGACAGCTGTGATGTGTCTGCTCATGTCTCTTCCCTGTTAAATCTGAGCACAGCAGCCCTGCCAGACACTCACTTGTGGTCAAATGAATTTAGACACCTGCAATGATTGTAAATCCACTCTGGATGCCACCACTTCCAGACCTTATGAATCCACCTCTCTGGACTACATTCTCCAGCTATGAGAGCAAACTCCTACTGCCTCCTTCCTCTCTCCCTCCACTACTGGTGTTGGCCACTTCATAGCAGAGCCCAGAACATCCAGTTTAGTCTTGATTTCAACTCCTAATGACAATGAGGTGCTGGATGGGTACACAAACCACAGCACTGAGTAGGACACTTATATGTGACAGTTCCCAACGAGCCTCCCTGACCTCCCCCAACCAGCCTAAAGAGAAAAAACCATTTGTGGCAGGGAGTTAAGCCAAATGTTCCAGGTCCTGAGTTAATAACAGCTAATGCAGCCTCACCACAGCAGAGCTGTGCCTTCTGGGATTTGCTGTCCCAGCACTGTCACATATAAACAAGACTCTGACAACTTCAGTAACTTCCAGAAATAAATTCAGTGAAACATGTAAAATAAGGGTTTTTTTTTTTAGATTTGCCTTGTAAATAAACCTCCTGTGTGATCAATAATCTGTATGTACCCTTGACATTTTTTGATCTTACATTAAAGTGTAGCTGTGATCACACATCAATTTGTATTTTGGCCCTTCTGAAAAGCATGATTTGCAAAGGATCATAAGCACATTTTCTTTCCTCATAGATTTTTAGCATCCAGGCAGAAAATGTGCTCAGTTTTTTGGATGTAATGAAAAGCTCACAGCATATTGCATTTTGTACCTGACACCATTAATATTTTCATATTTGTCTTGTACGTCACTTTCTTCACTAAATAATAGATCATTCTTATTATAGGCATTCCTTCACTACTGAGTTATCTGGAGAAAGACATGGTTAATATCAATAAGCTCCTTGTGGAATATGAAAATATCCTGGGAGAGAAAGCAATGCAATACCTGGTAGGAATATAGTTTTGCTTTTAAAAAATGAGACATACATCTCAGGCAGACAGAGAGCTTTGGGCAATGCTGAATCCACACTTATGTGTCTTTTTAAAAATACTCACTCATGCTATGTCTTTTTTTCTTCTCAAAGAGAATGGACACAGCCCAACATTTAAAATTACTCATTTTGTAATGCAAACATACTCCTGCTGCTAAGCTGCGGATTTCAAACCAGTTAACAAATTACAAAAATCCCTTTTCAGAAGACAGATTATTTGGAGTTATCAGCTCTGATGTGCTGTTTAATTATGCATGCTTTTGTGCTAAGCATCTTTAAATATTAACGAGATATGTTTTTGCACTCATGACCTAAAGTAGATCTATGGTAAACTCACGTGTCTGTTGGCAGTAAGTCATCACAGGGCTGCTGTACAGCAACAGCTCTTTTTAGTCTCAGAGCTTGTCTGTGGTTTTTGTCTTTTGTATCACTGCCAGCACAATGGAAAAGGAATCAGGAAAATTACAACCCTGACAGAGAGCCCTTCTCAGATGAATGGGGCTGAGATTATTCTTGCAATCACTTTTGGTCTCACTCTCAACATGAGAAAGGAGCTGAGAGCTTAGCCCCAGTGATGGGTGCAGCAGAGAGGGGCAGATGGGCTGGCTGGGAAAGGAGGAGTGCTGGGCTGCCCTTGAGCCTCCACCCCAAGGAGGGTATCTTATCCCTGAGTAAGGTTCAGACAAACCTGTGTTTTGGAGAGGAGAAAGCCTGTAAAAGAGATAAGAATTACCAAAGAGAAGATACTGAAGATATCACATTACTTAATATTTCCTTGACTCCAGAGAGTGGGACAGCAGTAGGATCCTGGCTAGGCTATGCTGTGTCTGATGTTCTCAAATAAAATGAAATAAATTTCCAGTGCCTCAGTGAATATCTGAATAGATGCCTGACTCATCAGACCAGATGGCTAGAAGTATATTGATATGTTATTGATCTCCTGATCAATTCCAGTTTAGTCAGATCACGTTCTACAGTCATCAGGCCCAGAAGTTTCACCTGATTCCCCATGAAACAGAGTTTAGAGCGCTGGTGTACATGGACTGATTTTGGCAAAAGCAAGAAGAGGAATGCTTAAGCCCAACCTCCTAGCAATAACATAGACATTGATGGGCCTGGAAGCCCTTCCAGTATAATTCCTGGACTGTGGGAATATGTTTCTGCTCTCTTCAGACACAGCAGAAAGCTGAATGACACCCATGGCTAATGAGAACTTCACTGGGGCCTGGGAGCTGGTCCAGCGTCACCTCTCTTTGGCCACAAGGTCTGTTGCCAGCTGCTGAGTCACCCTGGACCTACACACACACTAAATATAGAGCTGAAGTAAAACCAGTTTTAAACATATTTCCTTGGGCAGCACCTCACTGGAAAAAGGAGAGAAGGGAGAGGATGTGCTGGACACAAAGCCCTTGTACCTGCTCTCCCTGGAAAGGCTGTCTTTGGAGCTCACCTCCCCGTGTCAATGTCACCGCTCTGTGCCATGGGTTTATTCAGAGCTGCCCGATCACAAGATAAGATAAGCCATCCTTTCTTTGACAAAACCTGACATGCCTCACATATTAAAACATGGCCCACTCTGCTGGCAGCAGATAGCATCTCCACCGCTCACAAATCGCTCACGGTGGTTAGAAGGTGCCTTGTACTTACGAATGATCTTGCCTGATATATTAAGCCAATACACAAGCTCATTACCTCCGCTTCTTCCACGGAGCTTACCTATATCGAAAAGCTGTCACACAGCAAAGCATTAAACAAATACAGGGGCTGCCTGGTTATTGCTGTCTGTGGCACAGTGGTGCTTGCAGAGCAAGGCAAGGCTGGGGAATTGCTGTGCCAGCTGGGGTTGGGTGCAGAGTGGCAGTCGAGGTAGCACAGACTTGTTTTAAAAGGTGTCCTTGTTTTGGCTGGGTTTAGTTTTCTTATTAGTACCTGTGCTTTAGATTTAGTATGAGAATAACATTGATAAGACACTGATACTTTATGTGTTTCTAAGTAGTGACTATCTAAAGGAATTTTCAGCATTTCATGCTCTGTTAATGAGGAGCTGCACAAAAATCTCAGAGGCAGCACAGCTGGGACAGCTGACCTGAACCAGCCAAAGGGGTATTCCACACCATAGAGCATCATGTTCAGGATATTAACGGGGAGCTGTTAGCTGGAAATGAGGAAAAATGCTGCTCAGGATGAGCCTAGCTTCCACCAGGAAGGGAGAAGCAGTTGTATTGTTCAGTACTTGTTTCTTTTGGGTTTTACTACTCTCACCTTTTCATTACTGTGGTGCTGATGATGGTGATGATTGCATTTTACTTTCTTTCAATTTATAAATCTCTCATATATCTCAGCTCACATTTTATCATTTTTAGATTCTTCTCTCCATCTCACCAGAAGGGAGGGGAGTGAGCATGCAATTGTAAAGTACTTCATTTCCAGCTAGGTTGAACCACAGAAAAGGGCAAGACAGAGCAGAGATAGGGCAGGAAATATTCTGTCAGGGCATACAGGCCTCAAGCAAGTCATATGGCACTAAGGCAGGACAGGAGACCAGTGATTTATTTAAGGTCCTGCAGGCAGTCTGTGGAAAAATGAGCAGAAAACCTCAATATCCCAAGCCTTCAAAGGATTATCTGTCCCTGAAACACAACTTCTTCCATGTTAGACTGAGCTCTCACCTTGGTATGCTCTCTGAGAAAGGAGCCCTCAGCACTCCTTCTACCACTGAAAGGATCCATTGGGAAATAAAAAAATGATGTGATGATCTGTTACAGGGGTGTCTGATGACAGATACCTGATAACCAGGTTTTGTTTGTTCTCTGCTGCAACAGAAGTCACAGAAGAGTGACTAACCACCAACACAGCAAGGAGGGTGGTGACCCAATAATGCAGCTCATTCCCTACCAATTCCCACAGGAAAGGGCACAAATGGGTGCATGAACTGGCCTGGATGCACCTTCTTGCTCCCAGCCATCCCTTTCCAAAGGTTTGTACGTACACAGGGCTGTGTGGCATGTGTCCAGCGTGCAGGACACACACAGCACTCAGCCTGAGCAGCCTGGGTCCAAGAAGGACTTAGATGTTCTGGATACGAGGAGAAAAAACGGACAGAAAAAGCAGAGAGACCCAGAGAAGACAACAAAAATCTGCAATTCAAATCCATTCATCCCTGAGGGACTGGCGAAACAACTGCTTGCAATTGCATTAGTGCATTTTAATACGTTAACGGGCCCCCAGCTGCTGGTACCTGCCCCGGCAGCTGCAGATGGTCAGGGCCATTTCCTTCTGCAGCAAGGTCAGACAGGATTCCTCAGGAGGGTTAAAGTAAACAAACTTTAAATCACACAGCCACAGACTAGGAGCATACTCAAGGCCAGTTGTGATTACCTCAGCTCTAGGGTGGGAATGGGCTTGCTGCATCGGGAGAGATTTTTCCTACGGATGCGGTGAAATGCACAGCACCGCTGCCACTGCTGCCTTCTTGTCAAAAATTTGCTTGCATAATTTACACCAGGTGTCATTGCAGATAGAAAATATTGGGATGTTAAGGAAGTCATAACATTGGCAGATGATATTTTATGTAGTAATATGCGTGCTGAAGACAATAGGAGTATCTTCCATAAGTGAGTACCACTCAATATGAATGATGACTCCAAGGTCAGGCCCCTAATGAACAGTTGTCTAGCTGTGAATATATACACTTTTTCACTCTGTTGTAGGCAATGCTCTCAGCTACCTAATTAGGTTGATCCGTGAAAATGATTATTCATTATCTGAAGTCTGAGAGTACAGGATTATGTATCTGAGCAGCGTGCCTTAAAGAAAAAGCATGTGAAATTCTAATGTCAGATAAGGTGACTGCATGATGAATGGAAAGAATGCACCACTACTCTCAGGAATTTTCCTGGGAGTGTGTTGAATTCATCAAAAGGTCAGAGGAAGAAATCCAAACTTTTTAGATCAGGTCAAAATCAAAGATGCAAATGCAAGTTTTATGAGGGATGTTACATTATGCATTACAATGCAATTTCTGATTTAAAATAAATTATTTTTATTTTTTTAGAAAAGCGAATTTTCAGTTGTGTTCAAACCCTTTATCTGGAAATCCTGAAACACAGCAATTTCTACTTGTATGGGTTCTCCAAAATTACACAAGATGAATTCCACCAACATTGAGCTTCTGCAAAAGAGCTGTAGGCGGTTGCCACAACCCTCCTGCTGCTTGGTCTCCCAGGAATCCCCAGTGGCACTTTTCCTTTGCTGAAAGGTGATTTTCAGGCCATAGAAGACTCTTCTACTGCCACGTGGGACATGGGAGCCCTGGGAGGAGTGACATGGGCATAAGGAGCCAAGGCTGCTGGGAAGGGCTGAGTGCTTCAAAAGCCTGAGGGCATCAGCCTTTCAGCACCAGAGGCAATTAAGGTAAATAAACACACATGACATAATGCAATGACAGAGGGTAAAGGAAGGGAGAACAAGCCATAGGCAGAGGTAGTCTTGATGTGAACCCTTTGTACCCCTTCAGCTTGATTAGGATGGCTTGTGAGAGAGCATTACCCCAAAAAAGGCATTTACCACCTCATATTCTTTCATTTCCATTCACTGAGAGTGACATTGGCTCTCCCAGCCAGAACAGCTTCGAGACTCTGCCCTGGGGAAAGGAAAGAGAGAGTTAACAGAAAGGCTAAATATTTCAGCTGGATACCAGAACAAGAAAAAAGAGAAAAGAAAAAAAAAAAAAGAGGATAAGAAAAAGCAAGTTGTGCCACCTTGGAGAAGCACATTAGGAGGCAGGCAGGCAGATCTGTGGAAATAGAAACAGATTCTCATCACATGGGAGAAGCATCTTTTTGTCTGTCTAATGATGGGATGTAGTTCCTGAAGCCTGGGTATGAATCTAAACCAAATCTCTAGGTGCCAATTTGGAAAGAAACCTCAGAGCAAAATTGCTTTGGCCTCACCCTGCTTGCTCCAGGTCAACATGCCTGTGAAAAGAAACTCCCTGAAACTCTGGATGTTTGTCTTTTGTAGTGCCAAAGTTCTGCTCCCCTCCAGCTCTGACACCACTGTTTTCTTTGCAGGGACCTGTCTGTGGACAACTTGGCCTTCACCTGCACCCAATCCATGCTCACCCAGGGAAGGCAATGACCCGGGGCAGGCTCCGCTGCAGCAGCAGAGTGCAGCAATTGTTAATGATGAAATGCAAAAGGCGTTTCCCCGCTATGCCCTTTCTCCCGCGCCAAGTTTTCCCTTGTTAATTAGGAGGAAAATTTCACAACTTCAGCACCATATAATTAAATCTCGCAATTAACATGTGCACTTAAGCCATCATTTTGAAAATGAGACTTATGCAGGGAAATCTACTTAAGGGAGAGCACCAGGATGGAGAGTGAAACTGTGACACTGTGCTAATGATCCAGAACACCAGTGGTTAAATGATAGGTCTCACTGACAGCATTCTGCCCATCTGATATGTGCAGGAAAGGGCAGCACCGTGCTTAGGGATGCTAATCCAACACGGTTCCAATAAAAGGGGAGCGGGAGGGAGGGTGACAAAAGCAGAAGTAAATACATTAAGTCTCAATTAGAGTACTGACATGAGAGAGAGAGAGATGAGGTTAATATATTTTAGGAGAAAACCTTCCTGTGAGCCAGGGATTGATCTCCACAGGATGATGTGGCAGAGGTGATGACAAGGGAGACGGGAAGTGCTTTTCATTTCATTAGACCCTGCTTGGAATTGGTGGTGTAAACTCAGGGCTTCATGGCCTGCTTGGCACATTTCTTTGGTTCCCATCACCTTCCAGACATGGACATAAAATAGATTTGAAAAAGCTGGACTCAACCACAGCTTTGCTCTCTGCTTCTGTGATGCCACAATTTCTTGAGATGCCCAATGCACAGGTTTGCACCCCAGCTTCCACCTGGCTCAGACTCAGCACCTGAGGGAACACAGAGCATGATTTTTCTTCCCCACAAACATCCAATCTTCAGAGAGATTTTGCGGCATGGCTGTTTGTGTATATATTAGGCAGTGCACGGCAAAATCCAGAAACCAGCACACAAATATCTTAGGGGAGGTTGCAAGTTTTTCTTGGGTAGTTACACAGCAGCAGGCAAGCAGCCTTGGGTCTCATTTGGTGATTTGACATATATAACAATACAATTAAAACAAGCTTCAAAAAGGTAATTATTGCAGACTTAGTGGTGTGTCATGCTATAAGCTGGAAGAGAATAAAACCTGGCAGCTGACCACCCACCCACCTCAGCTCTTTCTGTGCACAATAACAAAAAGGAAATTGCACATTTAACAGCAATCTATGTTAACATTTTAATTGCACTGACTGAATCTTATTCAGCAGCTACAGATTTCCTCATTCCAAAATAATCCTTATTCAATTAGCAAAGTACAGGCAGTATCATGAAATAATCAAAGAAATCCATCATAGAAACAAAGCATGATTTCCTTTTATACCTCCTGACACACACACACACACACACCACCACACTTATTAAGATGACATCCAGCATTCAGGCATAAAATCTTAAATTACAGAGTGATTGGGGCTTTTCAACTGATCCATAAAAGTATGCACTTAGCAAAATCTAAGGACAGGTAGAAGAGATGGATAACACCCAATGCACTGCTGTCTCAAGGCAGTCACTGAGGCATGCAAAAATAAACATTTGCTGAGGTGAATGCAGTGTGCTATTTGTACAATGCAACATGGCAACGACTTCTAGTAATAAAAATATCTGCAGATTTCAGCCCAGAGGACTATATTGCATATCAATAGCAATAAAACCAGCAGAAATAGAAATTTATTATTTACAGATCTATTTATAAAACCTAAATACTTCTCCAGTGGACCTACTTCTGTAGAATGAACTGTCTTCATCCCCCTCACTCCTTTAGCAGTTTGTATGACAAGGTAGCAAAGAGCTGTACCATTAAGAAAAATCTTTGTGAAAGATAAATAACTGGAATTAGGAAGAGATGCAACTTCCTTCTGCATAACTTTCCCATTGATATGACCTGCATTTTCATTAAGTGACGCCACTTACACCTTTGGAAGTGGGATTGCAGGCAAACCCAAGGCACATAGCACACTCTCACTACAAAGATTGATTCTGCATAATAAAGTTGAACAGCATCTTTGCCATTAATTTTGACAGCAGTTAACTAGATTATGACTATTTCCTTTCCTTTCCTTTCCTTTCCTTTCCTTTCCTTTCCTTTCCTTTCCTTTCCTTTCCTTTCCTTTCCTTTCCTTTCCTTTCCTTTCCTTTCCTTTCCTTCCCTTCCCTTCCCTTCCCTTCCCTTCCCTTCCCTTCCCTTCCCTTCNGTGTAAGAAAATGCATAAAGAAGATAGTCTGTAATCACGAAATGCCAGTCATACAACAATTTGATAAATTGATGGGAAAGAGACATGATGCTTCTAATGGCCTTTAGTCTCTACCAAATACAACATATTTGATGAGCTAATTTCTGCTATGGCACACAAAGCAGGTTTCCTAAATTATGCTACACAATTGTGTATGTTTATACCATAAATGGAGAGACATTTTTTCAAAATAAGAGTAATATCAATATTACCTCCACTAAGCAGTAATGTAAATTGTTTAATATATAAACATTAGTGTGAATTGGAAAATTAATTAAAAGAACAAGTCACTATAATTATGATAAATAAAGCTTATCTTTATTGCTAGCATGCTTCTCCAGCAATCTGTCTAAATGAGAGGAAATTATATGCCATCAGCTTCCCCAAGAGCTAAAGTCTCATTTTAAGGATCAGGTATGCTACACTGAAATTAGAAAAATATCTGCTTAATCGGTATCACATCTTAAGGAGGACTGGAGAGAGGCTGGCCCTGTTTTGCCACCTGTTCTGCACATACAGAACACAATTCTTGTCCCATTTAACTGACTTTTGACCCCAAGTTTCACTCATTGTGGCTAATTTAGGCAGATTTTGATGCCAGGAAAGCTGGTCATTAGACTCTAATGATAAAGTACATATAACTATTAAATATGCAATGCTTTTCAAATTGGGAAACTGGAATTTGTTTACTGTTGTGTTATTTTCTTATCCTAGCCTTCCCCATCTCCTTTATCTTTTCCTATTCACCAGATGCTAGACCCCACTTTGAGAGGAAAAAAAAGGACAGAAAGTCCTTACAACTTTGCTGAGTTGTTAGAAAATATACCAACAATCTGTCTCTTTTCTGGCTGGTCTTGTATACCTCTTCTCAATAATATGTTTAAATATTTCATTGCCTCTCAATACATTGAGCAAACGTTATTGAAAAGGAAATATTTGTTGAAATACACATGGTGTATTGTGTTCAGTACTTCACCATTGCTTTAACTTAATAACATCTTATACAGCTTCTGAAAAATATCTTCTGCATTCAAATGTAGAGGAAAACAAAGCAGATCAGAAGACATTTGGGGATATGTGGGATAAGAAGAGAGGAAGTAGTAATAAGCAAAGCAATCTCTGGACTCTTTTCAGTAAGGTCCAAGTCTGGTACAGGGATAGACAACTTCTCTTCCTCCTCCTGAGCCTGGCACTGGGCCAGTCTGGATGTTCTTGGTCAGGATCTCAGACTGTAATGGTGTCCTGGCACCACGGCACACAACTGCTGCCAGAGGAACTAGGAATGTATGCAAATGAGGTTCAGGTCCTTACTTCTTATGTCCTCTCTGTTGCATAATCATGTAAAAAAATTATGTGTGAAGTTAACTAGAACTGGTGCTTGCAGTTATCTTTGCATACCAGAACAGCTGCATCAGCCAGGATGCAGCTGAATCTTCAAAATGACATCAAGCTTCCTATAGTTTATAAGTCACCATCTGGATGTGCCGCTAGAAAAATGGCTTTATCTTGTGTTGCTGGAAAAAACTCGGCTCCAAGTTTTAATCAGGGCCATAAATAGAGGAGGATGTGGATTTATTACTTACTTGTCTAGTCTGGATGTTCACACATGTACATGTTTTCAACATGTGGCATGTTGAAAATCTTGCCATTCTTGATTTTTGAAATTTCTCAAGCTCATTTTTTCTAATATTCAGCTATTTACACTACTTAAAAAGAAAAAAAAAAAAGAAAAAAAAAAAGAAAAGAAAAAAAAGTCTCTTTAATTGGAAGATATATTCCCAACCAGCTTTAATGAGAAAAATGTGAATTTCCTCCTAAAACCACTTGCAGACCATACACTATAAAATTAATTGTATGCATCTTACTTCTTGCCTCATTTCACTATACAAATGAGACACTGAACATACATAAAATTCTTGTATTAACGCCTGCAAAACTTTATTTGACAGAAGTTGCATTGTATTAACGCCTGCAAAACTTTATTTGACAGAAGTTGCATTACTGGCTGAAAAACAGTCTCATTCTTAGTCTTCATTGCAGCAGCATGGAAGCTGGTCAGCCAAGACTGCTAATTATCTGTCTAAAACCCACTGTGCCTAAATCGATAATGTGCCACAATGTTAAAGATTTTTGAGTCTGGGGGAACTCTCTTCCCTTTGAAGTTTCTTTGCAATTTTTTTTTTTTTATTTTTAAGTTCTGGAGGACAGTTTAATAAAAAAATTGCAGATTATTTTTTCTGCAAAAATTAATAAGCCTCTGTAAGACTTGGGTCGTTTGCTTTTGAATTCACTTCATAGGTAAGATATGTTTGGCTTAATTGGTTTTTGCAATGAATTCCCAGTAAAGCCTTCAGGAACAAATTTTGTTTACCACCAAATTCTATGCATGAGTGTTGTGATTCTGTTACATTAATGAAATAAGAACCAAAGGCCAAATTCCCACCTGAACTAATAAAGAATCAGCTTCTCACCAAATCTTTTCCACTGGGGAGTCAATCCTTTAAAGGGAAGGTGAAATCTGAGGTCCTCATAAAATTTGTGGTCATTTAAAAATGTTGCATGTGCCAAGTTAAAGGTGTTAGCCCCAGTTTCTTGGTGAAAATCCAAATTAAATATTTATGTTCAGTGTGCCTGAGATCTCTGTCTAATTTCATTTAAATATTATTTCTGTCCCTAGTGGCACCATTCCAGTACAGTTGCTGTATTTCACTAGTGCTTTCATGCTTCATGATGGCAGTCTAACATTTGTGAACATACAGAATATTCAAGTGTATTTAAAGGAATTAAGACATTCTGTCTCTTTTGACAAGTTCTTTGCATATAATCAAACTGATAAATAAGGGAACAGAGAGGATTAAAAAGAGACATGAGGTCTGCCATTATCTGTGCTCCCTGTGGTTGTTTAGCCTGGAGCAGAGGTTTTGGGGAGACTTCATCACAGCCTGCCACTGCTTTAAGGGAGATTATAAAATGGAGGGTGGGGGACATTTTGTATGGGCAAATAGTGAGGGTAAGGGACAATGGTTTTAAACTGAAAGAGATTAAGTTTAGATTAGATGTTT